TATATTGTTTGAGTGTGTTTTTTGTTATTTAACATTTTATTTTGCTGTATCATTTCAAGTTATGCAAAGTTAAACGGTAATATGGCATATTTTACTAATGTGGTCCTCTAAGCATGTTTTTATGAACATTAAAAAACATTTTGCGTTAAAATTGATTCATTTAACTTCTTGTTAACATTTTTGTATTAAATTTTTAACATATCCGAATGTTAATTTAACATGTTGTACAATTCTCTTATTTGAATATTTCATGTTAAATTGTTATTCAATATTTTTTAGTATCAAAATAACATTTGAGTAGAACAAATAAAACACGTACAAATGTAACATATGTAAATGTTAATTTTATTAAAAAAAACTTCGACAGAGTTTTCGCTTACAAATTGTATCAGTTATTATTTTTGTGTTCATTTTTTTACATAATGTTTTTATTACTTTCTAATGTATTCATCTTGTGTGTTAAATTAGCATAAAATTTTAAAAAGATTTCTTGGGAAAAATGAAATGTGTTAAATTTAACAGAAATTTTTTCCAACTGTATGGAAAATATGCCTGGAGAACTGAAATGCCCAAAAGTTTATTTTGGACGACAACGATAATGAGTCATTTCACGTGGAGTCAACGAAAAATAGGCGTTGCGAGAGAAAAATTCCGACACGCCACGCCGGCCCGAGGCTGTAAAGCGGATCGCGTTTTTCTGTGCTCGATTTAAACGTCGCGCATCGTCTACATGACAGGCGTGAAACCACCATACGCATTCGCGCGTAATACCATCGCGTAGATCGCGACGAACCGTGGCGAACTCGTCGCTTCTCGCCTGTACTGCGCAATCTTTCCCTGTGGATTTTATTTATCGTACGAATGATTCTAACGAAGGAATAAATCGGCCATGTCTCGCTTTACGTGCAGAAAAGAACAAAAATAAAATCTCGCTTGATGGAGAATTCCGAGTGAAAATGCTGTTAGAAGAAAAAGCATGCTTTATATTTAAGAGAGAATAGAATTCCCTTATTTATTTCTACAACATAAAAATTAAAACATAAAAATTAAAGAGCCTGTATAAAATAAAAAATTAATTTAAAATATTTACATGCACCATGTATTATACACGATGCAACACATGAATCATAGAAAAGTAAATTCGTAATGGATTTATTAAAATGCAATTTATTGCTAGAAATTCATATATACAAAATGTATAAAAAAATTCAAATGTCAAACATTTGTATAAAATTCCCAATGAACGAGAATGCACCGTAATGATTAGGTGTTGAGAGAATCATCGGTTAACTTGGGACAAACCAGTTCATTTTTCACGAAGCGAATTCCTCGCACACGTTCACATAGGGTGCAACGCGATGGACGTTCTAGAGCGAAGCACTTACACGGGACATAATATACGTCGGACCAAGGACCGTAACTGTCCCCGTATATTATGTCCCGCGTGTCCGGAGACACGCGTTCCAACCGGGTGTATCCGCGCCAAACAATGTCTCGGAACGTCAGCTTAAACGGTTCCTCGTGTTTGCAGTTATTTCGACAATTAATCGTTCTCTCAGATGCTTTATTCCCTTCCTTTTTTTTTTCATTTTTAATCTTACCTACCTCCCAATTAAACCGGATCAAAATTGCGTCAAAATTATATCTATCAAACATATTAAATGATCCTGAAATTGTATCTTGTCTTAGTTTATCTTAGTTTTGATTTTTTTTTTAGGGAAATATTAATTAAATTAACTTAATCAATATTGCAATCACAATAAACAAGAAAAATCTTAATCGAATATTAAAGTTTGAATCAAATATTGTACATAATAAAATATTTTGTATTTGCGTTAAAATTGATTCTTGTAAAATTTTTGGTGTCAAATTTTTAATATATCTAAATTAATTTAACATAATACGATTGTATTATTTGAATATTTTGTGTTAAATTAATATTTCTCAATAATAATTCAATATTTCTCAATAATAAATAATACAATTTATACGTAAGTGAATAAATAATATTTTTTTAATTTTAGGCTAAACTTATTTAACATTTAAATATTAACTTTATTGAAGAAATATGCTTCCTCAAATTGCTTATAAATTGTGTATACATTTTATAAATTTAATAAATTTATAAAATTTTATAAATCGTGTATTACATTTTTTGTGTTAATTTTTCACATAATATTTACGTTATTTTCTAACATATTGATCATTTTATATACGTGATTAGGTGTTGTCACCTAAACGATTTACTGACACAAAAGTTTTGATAAATCGTTTAGGACGCGTAAAATGTTAAATTCCACACCAATTTTCCAACTGTGTTGGAAAAACAAATCTTAAGACTTTCAAATAAATCACTTCTTAAATATTTCTTAAATATTCTATAACATTAAATAAAACTTAAGGATTAATTATTTAAAACTATCTCTTTCATTAAACTTCTATCGCTCTGATATAATATTGAATCAACTGATGCAATTTCATCTCAACTATCTCACAGCTTTCGCAACACGCTAGAAAATCTTTCCTGAGGATGAGGACGCTAAGATGACGACGGCTTTTAACGATCGTTCCTCTCGTTCTCTACGGCGACAAGCATCGCTAGGTCTTCTCACAGTCGAGCAGAACGAGAGGCATCTTCTTCCCGCGAAAGTATCTGGAAAAATTCCTTTTTTCCCTCTCTGTCGAAGATTCAGAGGCGCATAGTCGACAGTCGGAAGGGATCACGATCCTTTTAAGATACCCCTGCATTCCTACGTTCTGCTATTTCTGTTTTTCGCGGCTTGATCCGAGATTGCTACGTTGCTTCGCTATGCAGTGCAGCGAACGGACTATTATTGATCAATGTTGTGAATAAAATCTCGATTGTATAGTACCAGAAAGATTCTAAACAATACTTTAATTTATTGATACACTTAAAATATTTTTAAAAGGATTTATATAAAATTTTTCAGAAAAAAGTCATCTTCTTATCAGCTTTTTTATTAAATAGATATAGCAAATAAACACGTCAATATAACGTAATAAAAATGGAATCATAAATATAGAATGCAATATTAAATGATGTTCATGCATCACGTTATATGCTAGTGTACTTGTCATTGTGTCGATAAAATGTGACAATGATATTCAGGTCCTGCTCGACGAAATTGTTGGTACTACTCGTGTAAGTTAATCGCAGCGCGTTGG